GATGGATGGATGGATGGATGGATGGATGGATGGATGGATGGATGGATGCATAGGTAGATAGATTGATAGATTGATAGATTGATTGATCGGTTGATGGTTTGATTGATTGATCAATCGATCGATTAGATTACATAGATTACTGCAGATAGATTAGATCAGAAAGAAACATAGACAGATAGATAGATAGATAGATAGATAAATAGAGTAGATAGAGTAGATAGAGTAGATAGAGTAGATAGAGTAGATAGAGTAGATAGAGTAGATAGAGTAGATAGATAGATAGATAGATAGATAGATAGATAGATAGATAGACAGATGATAGACAGATAGACAGATAGATAGATAGATAGACTAACGGATATATAAAATTGGATCTGCAAATAGATATACATATAGATATAATATAGATAATGATAGATAGATATCAGCAATCGTGTCCATGGTTTCAGTTCATGATCCCTAAACCTTGTGCAGCAGAGGTGCTCTCTGGTTCGCAACAAAGCGCATTTACCACTGCGGCCTGAAACATTAGATTAGATGACATGCATCCAAAACTTGGGATAGCTCAAGTGACTAAGTGTTTGTTTTGGCAGGACACGTGGAAGGAATTCTAAGAGCCTGGCCAATGCAGCAGCGCCTTCGAGGGAGTAGAGGCCTCGGGAATGCGTTGGTCTCAAGAACTGTGCTTCTTTTGGGTCTAAAATCTAAAACGCGATAGGCAAAGACATCTGCCATGAAAACTTGAAAATCCTCGCTAGTTGATGTCTCTTCTGTGTTCAAATCAGCCAAGGACAATCTGCAGCCAGGATCACCTTCAAGTGCAAGGTTCGTTCATTGCCTGTTTTTGTTTCGCCTTTGTTCAAGTGAATCCAAAATGTGATAGGTGTGCAATCTGGCAAGGTCAAGCATCCACACTATCATACTGATTGACAGTTGCTAGGGTCACAACCGCTCATGTATGGCAAGCAGTGACATATGCCAAGGTATATGGCAAGCGGCAAACGCACATTGTTTGCTTCATTCTCCACAAGCGTTGATTCATACTTCTGATGCCGATCCTGAGGTTCATTAGGCCCATTGCCTTGTGGCATGTCCCATCTTGCGGCAGACGGATTGTACCATTGATGACAGGTTGTGGCAAAAGCCTCCCTGCTCCTGGATGATGTCTTCTACCTTGCGCAAAGCGATCTTTCCCTGTTGTGGTGACATCCTCAACAAACTTGCCCTAGCACGCTCATCAACCTCCATCTCCACCATGTTCTGCAACTGGGACAGCTGCTGCTTGAGCTCTTCCTGTTCCTCTTCTTCGGTTTTGACCATGGAAGACCCCTTGCCAACTTCATCTCTGGTGCCAGACTCCTCCTGAGTCTCGCGTTCTCCGTCGGGCTCATAAAGCTTCTTGTAGAGATCTTGCAGGAGGGTTTCTAATGATGTGGCTGAGGTTCCTGTGGTTCCAGGCGATCCTGCCCTGGTGCTGGCATTTGACACGGACACAAAGGGTGTGGTAGTCTCACCATAGTGCATGGCAGTTGGACTGTCCTCCTGAAAGCGTCGAACCAATTGTTCCACCTCTGAGCGTGGTACAGCATACATCTCTAGGATTTGCTGCTTAGCGCGCACCTCGATCTGCCTCATCTGGCGCTCGGTCTCATAAAGGTGCATGAGCCTCTGGTTTTCGGCTTGGAGTTTCGCCATCTTGGCTTCCATCTCATGCAAGTTGCCTTTTGATGTAGTTGTTTGCGAAGTCTCCAAACTCTCCTGGTTGGTGTTTGTGTTTGCCATTGGCACTCCACCAACCATGCCGGGGAACTGAACAAAGAAAGCCACATTGCCACAAAATTGCTCTCCTGTTGTGTAGTCGGTTGCATCGGTGCCCCAGTTCCACTGCTCTTGCCATTGTGGATACACACCCATGTAGCCTGAGTTGTCATAACCCGTGTACATCTCCTGCATGTCCGTGGACGCCATGGCTATGGCTTGGCCTTGACGCAGGATTAGGCTTTAGCACCCTGTTGCCATGTATCGGTCATTGACATCTTGGATTTCTCATGATGATTGATGTTCCGTTCCAACCTAATATATTCTCTTTGACCCAAGGTGCTGCAAGCAAACAAAGCCATACTCCATGCCAAATCCTATCCCTGGAAAGCTAGCCAAAGGCCCTGCAAGCAGCTTCCCACGAAACCTTTTGCAAAATCGGCCTGAAAAGGTGTCTCAGGATGATCCAATTCCAAGGGCCTCACAGGATCTGGGCTCATACATTTCGCAAGAAACTTCGCCATTTGAAGCTGCAAAGTGATGTAAACAAAGCTCCATTGTTGTTCGTCCTGTGAGTGGTCAACGGAGAATCAATGGCCCCGCGGGTCATTGATTAGCACAAGCATCCACAACTGTCCCCAATCTATCCGGGGTACCACCAGTGGCAGCAACTCTACTGGGCAAAGGATCAAGGGTAGATGTTGAAATAAGAAAAGGTCCACAGCCAGAAAAGGCGTCTGTCCAATGTTTTCTCTATTAGGTCAATAATATGTGTTTTTTCTCTGAGCTTCACACTCGCTCCAATCAAGATGCCGAGCACAAGGCGGCGAACAGCAGGTTGCTTCTGTACCCTTAGAAACTTTAACAGTAACCTATCTCCACCCTTTATTTCCTGTGCCGTTCTAGGCTTGCTTATGCGGTGTGGTCTAGGGTCCTAGTCCCTTGAGATCTAGGCCCTTTGCCACCGCAGCTGACATTTTGCCACTTCTTCGAGGCCTGTTAATTTCAGACAAAGCCATGAAGGATGGACAGTGATCAAGGCTCAACAGGCTGGATTAGTTTCTGGTCATGAAGGCCGGCATTCAAAGGGGCTATGCCTGTGATCTTGGCAATGTTCAGCGGCAAAGTTGCGGGCGTTGCGTTCCAGCCTAGAGGATATTCCGGACAACTCAGCACAGGCGCAAATGGTGAAGACTTGCTTATGTTTAAAGTGTGGTTTCTATTGTCAGCAAGACGTGTTGTCAGTGGGATACAAAGCATCTAAGTTGGAGTCAAAAACAGGGTCTCGTCTCTGTCAGTCAGAGTTACCTCAATGCAACAAAGAGTCAAGACGCTCGAGGAGTAAAGTTTGAAACCTCTGATGCATTCTTTGACAGAGTTTTTCCGTGCCATATCTACACTTGACTGCCCAATTGCCAGCCCCCCGAGGGCCGCAGCTGCTAAACCTGCAAGGCCGCAGCCTGTCATGCAACACAGCAATTACAACAAAGACCAAGGTGCAAGTGTCACAGGTTCAGATCTATTCATGGCCACCAGTGCCCATGCACCCTCGGAGTGATAGCAAACTAGTCTAGGCGGCCATGGGGCAATTTGCATGGCAGCTGAGGCCTGGTTCTTTGTTCGTGTGAGAAAGGTGACAGCTTGATCCTCACAGCAATGCTGCAAAGGAGCATCCAAAGGACACATGAGGGCCTCTCGCTACGACGGGACACCAGAGCTGTTGAGAATATAAAGTGAGGAAGCTGTAACTTGGAACCTGGAGGCGATCATCGCCAGACTAGCTTGCCAAAGGCATCGGGAAATTCGTCTACGACCTCCAGCGCCGCAAAGAAGAAACGATGACCAGCTGGATTACAAGGCGCGGAAAGGGTCAGACCCAGTCCCCAACACATGTTTTTTCATGGCACCAAATCACGCCAATGGCCACGATCGTGCAAGAAGCTTGCCATGGTGGCCGGTTGGAACGCGCGCAGGGAGACGAAGGCTGGTGGGGAAATGGAAAAGGATGAGCATGGTCAGAAACTGTTGGAAAATACTGGGCATCATAAGATGCGAATCACAATGGGCACACCCTCAAAACAATACGAAGCAAACAAGACCAACATACAAAATCTGCATGTGCAAAGCAAACCCGCAAGGTCACACTACAATGAGACGACTTTTTACGAGATGAGACGACTTGGCCGTGGACCTAGTATGATGTACCTGAACCATCCTGAACCTGCATTCTTGGGACACCTCGTCAGAGATCTTCAGGCGGGCCCCTTGCTTCTCCGCCGCTCATGAAGTTTGGATACCCACCAACGTGTCACATGGGAATGGAGTGGACAAAGGTACTATATAGTATCCTCCCAAGCCCTACTCTCGTCCTGAGGGCCTTGCTGGTTTCGTGACGCGCTTTCGATGCTCTCCTGGCTCAACGTCCTATGAAAATTCAACAAGCCAAACGCGCAAAGCCTTCACCCGAGCAGCTCTTGCGCACGCACATCATCGACTAAGGGGAAGTCTAAGGTGGAGCTCCACGTGAGCATTGGCCCCATGAAGGGCAAGCAGGCCTGCTCTCTTCAAAGGCTCTCACTTGGTTTACAAGGACGTCGATCCTTCCACATGGTCACCACCGTGGCGCTTGCACTCATGCTCACGAGGAACGGAACATCACCGAGAGTCAGCGAGACGGTCACCAGCCTCGAAAGCATCCCGAAAGCAGGCAGCCCTCAGTGCAGGAGCTGACACACACCCAGCTCTGTTGTTAAGGATGACGAAGGAAGCCCAAAGTCCGTATTGGAGCATTGGAGGGCGGCAAGTCACAAGGGCTCACGGCACCTTTCAAGGTGAGCAGGCAACAAATATTGCACCTCCGGGATACACCACAAAGCCTGCGATGGAATGGCCGTCAAGTCTCGCAATCACCACTGCGCTGCATGTGTGCGTGTGTTCTCCCCACTACACAGGCTCAATCAGGTCAGTCCTGATCAAGCAGGACAACTACAACAATACTAGGAAAGAACGGAGGTGTGTTGAGCGGAATTCTCCCAAAGTTGCGAAGTTTGGAAAATAATTGCCTAAGATGGTGGTGATGATTGTGTCGAGCAATGGCAGCTATACATGACCAACCATCAAATAGTTATTTGTTTGAAAAAAGAAAAAAAAGCAAATGAAAATGCAAAAGCAACACAAGTTGCGTTGTTGTTGCATTTGTTTTGCTTTTTTAGAGTTTTTTTTCCTGGTACCACTTCTGCACTTATGAGAACTTTTACCCATCAGCAATATTCGCTTTACACTCCTTGGAAAACAAGGATTCAAACAAAAATGTAAAATAAAGCGAAAACATATCAAAATAAAGCGGAAAAAACAAAATGAAAAAGAGCGACATTAAAGACGCAACGTTGCATGTTGTTGTTGTTTTTGTTTGCTTTACTTTTGCTTTGTGTGCATTGTCTTTGCTTTAAAAAAAAAAAACAACAATCTTAAAAAAATGCTCCTTGTATCTATGGCTGGCGTGCCGAACTCAATGAAGGCTATGATCGAAGAATACGAGTATGAAAAGGTCAGTTGCGCGGAGCGTGCAGTGGGCGCTATTGTGCAAATCATGGACTATTGCAACAGGGAACGCACAGTTGCGACAATATAAGTGTCAGAAGAGTCCTTTGAAGGGCAAGCGCGAAGCCAGCGAGGCATCACACATTGACATTTTACAGTGGATCATTTTAGCAATGTAGAAGTTTGGCCGCAAGTTGACCAAACTTCAAAGAACACCCCCTAAGGGCTAAGCACTCGAGGTTGCAGAAGAGCAAGTTCTAGGAGACGATCCGCTCACCGGAGAGGAAAAGGTTCGGGGCACTGAAGTGTGAAGAATTTGACTGGGGCTTTGGAATGACGGGGCGTCAAACTGTACATTATTGGCATTGGCAAGACATGGACGCGTCATGACGCGTCCAACATGCACAGGAAGGATGCGACAAGATCCAACACAATGTATGATATCACCGCCTTCATCCGCTCTGACAGCATAGAACCGACATTGGACTTGGACAATCACAAGTCTTGCCACAGTGCACCAAAAAGGGGTCTATGGCGACATCTCCAATGAGGGCCCATCTGATGAAGATTGAAGACAACTGCCAGAGGGGGATGAGGAGACTCAAAAGAGAAGCCTCAGCGTCTGGATGTCCCTTCTTGGGAACAAGGCTGCATCAAAGCGCCAACACGCGCTTGTGAGGAAGGGGATGAAGCGACAAGAGGGAGCTCAACAAAAAAGCGAGGAGACACAAAGGAAGAATTGATTGCCTTCTTTGCAGGGGGCGGGGGTGAAGGAGAAGAGTTTGACCACCGAGGAGCTTAATCTGTTTACAAAAGCGAGACACAATTACATCAAGAATTCCTTGCAGCGCAATGTTTCCGAACAAACAGTGGTGTATTTCCTGCGGAAAAGAGATTGTTGGGATGAGGTGGTTGCTGAGCTGGAAAAATGATCTCAAGCACAGTGACAGCGGGGCCAAAAAGCCAAGGCTCGGGCCATCATCCTGGTCTATCAGGATCTTCGGTATCAGCACCATCAAACAACTAAGTTCCTACCCCATTGGGCCCAAGGCGGCTTATGGCCTGGTCCCGGCCGCTCTTCTATGGTACGTATCAACACCATGGAGAGATTTATAGGAGACGACTCATTGGTACATTGACGAGCAACAACAAAATCAATCATAGTGCTTGGAGCTGCCACTGAAGGGCGTTTCATGTTTCGAAGCAGGCTCTATTTCAAGGGCATGATGATTGGGTCATTTCCGCTGTTGCAGCCATCTGCAGCCTCTTCAGCATGTTGGTGATTTTTGTTTGCAGATCCACGAACAGCACAATTCACAAACAGCAAATGGACGAACTCCGGAAGTCGTTCGCCTGGGCACTTGGGAAAAACAAGGGCTTAAGCAACGTGGGATTCTCGTCAAACAACGGGAAAACTTTTCAATCACCTTGAACCAACAATGACTCATCATCGAGGATATTGATGAGGTTAGCATCAATCAGGAATCAGGACAAACCAAAATAACCTCAACCTCCAGCAACTGACAAGGAGAAGAGTCGTCTTCAAGGTGTGTTAGGAAGTCGTTCATGGTAGGCAAACGGTAAAAGTTTTATTCGGAAACTAAAAGGTGATCTTCGGAAACTTTGCGGCTTTCTTCGGAAACTAATCTTTACGGTTTTCTTCGGAAACTAATCTTCGGAAACTATGCGGCTTTCTTCGGAAACTTTACGGTGTTCTTCGGAAACTGTTAAGTGGAAACTAATCTTCGGCAACTAAAAAGTGATCTTCGGAAACTTTAAGGTTTTCTTCGGAAACGGAAACTCTACGGTGTTCTTCAGAAACTAATGTTCGGAAACTAGAAAAAGTCGAAGAGCAACATCAAACCTGCACGAAAAACTTTCTGCTGATTGCAAAACAAGCATGTATATACCGTAGCCGTCGCAAGGTACGTCACCTACCCACCCACACACACCCCACCCAGTGTTCCTTCATGCAAATTGGCTGCAACATTGTAAAAGTTCTGAGGAATACTTTCTAAAGTTAGCTTTCTGAAGATCGCGAAATAGTCTCTGAAGATCGCGGAATAGTTTCTGAAAATCGCAAAATAGTTTCTGAAGATCGCAAAATAGTTTCTGAAGATCGCGAAATAGTTTCTGAAGATCGCGAAATAATTTCTGAAGATCGCGAAATAGTTTCTAAAGATCGCAAAATAGTTCCTGAAGATCCCAAAATAGTTTCTGAAGAATAGTTTCTGAAGAGTAGTTGCGGAAGAGTACCAAATAGTTGCGGAAGAAAAGTTTCAGAAGAATGGAGAGTTGCGGAATAGGACTTTGTTCGTAGGCAAACATGCTGTCAGTTGCTCTGGATACATTGTGTTTCGGAAATTCCAGTGGCTACTGCAGAGATCTCATCAAAACAAACGACCTGGTGAGGGCGGCGAAAACAACTTCCATAGTTTTCATCCTGAGTCACAACTCCACCTTGTGGCATGGGTAGAGGCAGCAGCTTTCAGTGGGATGGGTGATGAGAAGCAGGCTCCAAAATTGAGTTTGTGTGTGTGTGTGTGTCAACTCCTGTTTCCAGGGAATCCGACCACACTAAGGACTCTACTCACATGTAACTAGTTAATAGCTGAAAAACTTCGTTGTACAGCGCAGGGGGCACGGCGGCCGTTCACCTAGCCGTGCTAGCAAAGCTATGGTGTTCGGTTGGATGAGATACTGGACGCAGTATCTTGTACCTGCACATTTTAATTATCTGACTCTTCGATTGTGTAAACCATAATGTTTCTGACCCTGCCGCCTTTCCGTTGTGCACATGGTCGTTGACAGGTTTCAGGTTCTAGCGCTCTACACCGGAATTGTAATCGCTAGAGTGGATTGCCAAAACTGATACAGTTCTTGCGAGCCATGATCTAAGTGTGTCCCGCAGGATCGTGCTGTGTGATCCCCGCCGTCCCTGATGACTTACTTTTCTAGCCAGAATCTGGGGCCAAAAAAGCATATCAGCCAAACATCAGCAACAGATACAATATTCCTTACGGTTGACCTGTTGCACCACTTATATGAGAACCGCTCTGGGACCGGGTTTTCATGTCTCGTTGAGCATAGACCCTCAAGCCGGATTCTCGACTGAAAATATCGTTCCTGATCGACTACCACCGATTCAGCTGCTTGCTCGAGATCGCTGATTAGAAGCTGCAGGGCTCACTGACACTTTTTTAGAGAATGACATGCCATGCAGGTTTGAGGACACGCAGCTAAGTATTCATCTTGTAGTTGCTTTCTCTCCTGCTGTTCCTCTTCATCTTCTAGGTTTTCTTTCGTTGCTAAAGGCTTTCTAGGTTTCAGGTTAATTTTTTGGTCAACTGCTAAGCACTCACTCGTACGTTTCACACTGAGTAATTCATGCACGGTCTTACGTTCCTTCTTTCCAGGGTTCTTTCGTCTTCTTCGGGTTTTCGTTCATTGCTAGAGGCTTTTTTGGTCTCGGTCTCAGGTTCACGTTTAGTCAAGGGTGTGCCAATTTCGGCTATCTGACCAGTGCCTTTGGCCCCGTACCTTTCTCCTCACACACACCCCCACACCCCCTTTCTCTTCTTGCCTTCTTTCGTTTGTTAGGTTTTCTCTCAGGCTTGTTAGGTTGCGTTCAGGCTCGCTTAGTCGATGCACTCTTTTCCCCTTCCCCGCAGAGCAAAAAAAGAGCTGTGATCAGGGTGCGCCGTAAAACGGCTTTTGTGTGTGTGTGTGTCAACTCCTGTTTCCAAGGAATCCGACCACACTAAGGACTCTACTCACATGTAACTAGTTAATAGCTGAAAAACTTCGTTGTACAGCGCAGGGGGCACGGCGGCCGTTCACCTAGCCGTGCTAGCAAAGCTATGGTGTTCGGTTGGATGAGATACTGGACGCAGTATCTTGTACCTGCACAATTATCTGACTCTTCGATTGTGTAAACCATAATGTTTCTGACCCTGCCACCTTTCCGTTGTGCACATGGCCGTTGACAGGTTTCAGGTTTTAGCGCTCTACACCGGAATTGTATTCGCTAGAGTGGATTGCCAAAACTGATACAGCTCTTGAGAGCCATGATCTAAGTGTGCGTGTGTGTGTGTGTGTGTGTGTCGATGGCCAGACCAGCATTTGCAGAGACGCAAAGACCATGGTAAACATTGATGCTGAGAACGATCTTTTGTATTTGGGGGGCTGAGATGCGTGGACATGTCCTGGACCCAAGTTGCTACGAAGGCGCCAGCCAGCAATCACGCAGCCTTTACTATACAATCCACCGACTTACAGTGGTGATCAAAGGGGCTGAGAAACATTCTGATATAGAAGCCATACCCCTAAGGGATTGTCAAACCAGACTGGTATGGGTGCATGGAAGAGCAATGATAGCCGACAGCCTCACCAAATGCACCAAGCACAGCCAAGCCATCATGTACACCACTCTTGGCTTTCGATTCAGAATCACCCGGGACAGTGACGCCTTGAAATTTGGCACACAACATACAATAACACCGAGCGATCGTTCCTGGTGCAAATGTCACAGGCTCATCCATCCACAGAACTATTCCTGATCACCAATGCCAGGGGTTGATAGCAGAATAGTCTTGGTGGCCATTGAGCAATTCGCACAAGGTATATAGCACAAGTACAGGGCTGGCCATGTCCATCATGCAACCACGCGAGCAATCAACTGCTTGTTCGATACTGTATTCGCTGGATAAATATTGGAACGTGGCTCAAAGAGTGTGTCTTCCATCAGCCTGCACCAAGTTCAAGGCACCGTAGACCACGAACTGCGTCAAGCACTGTAGCTGTAGCCTGCAAATTTGACTCACGTAATCAACTTATGTAAGATTTAAACATTTAGTGACCAACAAAGAACTTCACCGGGGAAAAAGTTTAAGTGGCTGGACAAATTCTGGAGAACCAAAGTACTGCAACTGGCACCATGAAGGGAAAGACATGTTTCCATCAACGCATGTGAGCACTGTGAACTATTCTTTCTATTAGCAAAAGCACTTTCTTGCACTTACACTTACCTGTCTTTAGGAAGGTGGCGGACATCCACTTTCCCACAGCATCTGAGCTTCTGCTTCAGTGTTTCGACTTTAAACCTCTGGGAGATTGTTGGGCGTCCCTCTTTCCGACTGAAGCGTGAATGTGCGTTTCTGTTTTTAGCCTTTGCTTGTCAAAGCTCCTTTCCGATTTTGTTGAGACCTTGTGGCTGGCCGAATAGCCTGACCGGAATACCAAAATACGTCAGACCAGCATTTAAAGGACACTAGACTAGACCTCTTCCTCCTCTTTATGGGGAATGTAGCTCTTGTATACTCTTGTAAGTCGCTGCCCTTGCTGGTCGAACCGAAGGTATGCTTTCACAATCGTTCATACATATCGCCTCCAACCTACTAGCTCTCATTCATATTCTCTGGTCAATGTTGACCACCTCTTTAAATTTCTGTCTGAAGCCGAGTCGTATACCTTGCCAGCTGAGCTTGGTTGATCTCCTGAAGGTATCAAAGGAGGTAGTCCTGTTTACATCGAGGCTGGAGGGCAACAACGCTATTGTATATAGCGACCACGTTTTGTTGTCAACTGTGCCTGGGTCTTGGTGCGGGATACGCGCAAATCATCTGCCCACTCCAAGTAGCGTGCAAGAACCACTGCAGCGTCCCATACGCAGCAGCCAGTCACACCAAGCTCGCCCTGCCTGGCTCGATTCTGGGCCACGCGAATCCTGCGACCTGCTACATCACAGATCAAATAGTCAGAGCCGTGGTCATCAAACCGGTGACGGGCATCGGCAGTGTTGGGCAGCAAAGCCCAAGTGACCAGAGTTTCTGCAGCTGCATCACGAACACGCTTCTCTAGCGCTTCATCCTCATCCTCATCCTCATCTGATGAGATCTCCATGGCGTCAAGCGATCAGCATGGGTCTAGTGACATATCCACTAGACTGCTGGTCAACCTCACAACATCCAACCCAATGTTTCACCTTTTTAAGAGGTTTTCAGTGCCTATCTTAAATTGGAAAAAGGTTAGATAGCAAGACAAGCAAACTCAAAGTTGAGCGCATCATGATGTATCTGCATGTTATTTGGTGCTGAGGTCAACTCCATACACATTCCCAATTCACAGAGCTAAACGAGTCCGAGGGCTATCTTCGTAAGGTAGGTGCAAAACAACTCGAGGCATTGCTGCACAAATTCCTTTGACTCACAGTTTTGGAGATGTGGCGGATTCCACAAGCCCATTCCACATGGCAGCAGGTTCTAGCTGCGATGCGACCATCAAACTCCTACGAGGCTTTGCTCTGGGATATGAATTTAATCTCAGCTTCTTTTGTCAAGAAGGCACTGCGGCCTCCTGAAAAAAGCCCAAAGGAGGGCGAACGCGAGCACAAACATGATGGGAACTCAAATGAGCAGCACCCCCCCGTTTGGGCTTAGAAGAAGAAGGATCTGCCTGATTGCCACCCTTGCATAAGGACCTCAGGATCCTCAGCGTGTGCATGGTTCAACGAGTAACTCAGTAAAGGCTGAACTGCTACTCATACATAACTATATATAAATATATCATGAAAAAAGAATATTTATATATATATACAGGTTCTGTCTTATCTTTCTCTGTGCTAGGCTCATGACTAGCCCCTGGATACGTGCAAGCTCTCCTTGCGTAGAAGCTAATTGAATCCTTAACTTTGCCCTCAGAGCTGCAACTGAACTTGTGCCTCTCCAGGGCTGCAGTCCAGTGCTGGCCCAGCAGACCAAGGCCACTGAAAGAGCTCCACCAAATATTCCTCCGACCTGAGTGGCTTGCTGCTATGGAGCAAGCAAAACAATTCCGTTTAAGCAACAAACAGGGTAAATCTGATTTTGGCAAACTATTTGCTCTTTGAGGCCGCGTCGGCACGGACCCACCGAATGTATATACACCTTTGGGCGGCACATCAATATGCAATCACGAGTACTGCGAGTAGTGCGTAAGCATGATTCCACGCGTGCAGCATTGAACTGTCAGTGATACATTGTGCGCACGCCTTCTCAGTTCTTCTCTTGGGCAATGCAACACTTATATAGAGAGGGATCAGTGGAGCCAAGCTACAGGGACATTGCAAAAATGCTGAGAACCTCAGCGACAGAGTGCACAATATCTAGCCAGCAGTTGATCTCATTAATTTCAAGATGAGGAAGGGACTAAGTTGATTGGCTTCGAAGCACGATTCGAACCCGACTGACTTTGTGGGAAAAATGCGTGTGTTCAGTGAGGGTATTGACTTGGAACAATCAAACTGGAGGTTGTCTGACTGTCTGCTGCAAACTCGAGAAGAGCTGGGTGGTTGAAGGCCCGAGCTGAGTAGGCGAACAGGGCCCATGGTACCCCAAGTTCCTCAGCCACTCACATGGTGCACACATGCCCTCCCTCCCTGCCTCCCTCTCTATCTCTCACCATCCCTCTCTCTCTCTATATTATATCCGTCTCTCTATCCCTCTCTGTCTCTCTCTCTCCCTCTCGCTATCCTCTCTCTCTCTCTCAAATTTGGCAACCAAGTTGATGCAAGTCTCAAAGAAGCGTTTCTGCAAAGGATACGGAGGAGTCTGCAGAAGCCACCAGCAAAAGAAGTTCCAAGCTAGGTAGCCTGAGTTGAGTCAGTCAAACCAACATGACACCTTGGAATCAACGAGTGAATCGACAACAGACCTGACCATTCGTCCCAACACCATACCCCCTTGCAACCATTTGAAGAGGGTATGTACAGTATCTACGGAAGAATCTAGGACTCCTAGGACTGAAGCTGACGTAAAGAACAAGGATTACAGACAGACTCAACAAAAAAAAAAGTAGAAGTATAAAAGATAGATAGACCATGATAGACCATGCTTTGAGAGTTAACGATGGGGTAAGCTGCGTGGATGTGATGGCCAATTAGAATAAAGTAGACGGAGCCTGTTCAACTAGGCCAGGAGCCCCTAGTAGCGTCCTTGCTCCCAGTAGGGATGCCAGGAGCCCCTAGTAGCGAACATTGTTACTACTAGTAAGGCACTTGTTACTAGTAGCGTGGCACTTGTTAGTAGTAGCGTGGCACCTGTTCCTAGTAGCGAACATTGTTACTACTAGTAAGGCACTTTGTTACTAGTAGCGATGCATGATGGTTGAACGGTGAGATCCGCAATGCTTGACAAGTTTGTCCGTTGCAAGAGGAAGCAATAGCTGTGATAGTTTGGAAAAGGGAATCTGGCCATTGGTCCACCAGGTTTGATTTGACCGGAAAGTTTGCCAACATCCACAAGCCTGACAAGGGCGCACGAGAAACACTGCATGGATCTGCATGGACTAAATTTGGACCGTGCGACCTAAAGCAAAGCACAGCGTAGCATTGATCTCCATGTCAGCCTGTCCCAGTGGATGCTCTGCCACCATCATATCAGCAACCTAAAAGAACCAAACGACGAGGAATCGAATGACTTCGACGCTCCTCCTGGCATGATGCATCTCGGCTTCGCACCATCAAAAGTGGGCAGAGCGTATGGACATACTGCATGAAAAGCCTTAAGCGCACATGGCGTGGGCCCGAGTAAGTTCACCCTACGGGTTCAGAATGGTTTGTCTGCCTGAAAGGTGTCTGCCAGCTGCAAGCAGGTTCGGGGTCTGTTGGCCCAAACATCGCCTCGGCAGTCCAGCGCAACATACCTGAGACCACCCATGTGAAGAGACTGCCGAGAAGCTCCAAAAAGTAGGTGCTGCTTGAAGTCAGGGGTGAGCCTTGGTATCTTGAAACTTTGGCAGTAGGATCAAGATCTGGCATAGCTGAGATATGGACTGATAATGAGCTGGCAGAATTACATCTACTGGAGCCATGAGTGCCGGATCGACAAGAGCACTTCCCCAAAAGACTATGGCCACCTCGGTTACTGTGGCAGCAGTTCTCTTGTCTGCAAGACTATACCGAATACCTGTCAGTTTTTTTGGCGGCAAAGTGCACAGCCATTCATGCTTCAGGCGCTGACGAAAAGAGCCACTGACGTTGCAACCACAAAATACCTTTCAGATCCAATCCCTGCAATACAAAACCGGCAGGAAAATGCTAAGGGCCGGGGCAACTCCAGCCAGGAGCCGGATGCCTCCAGGTGTTTGCACCAAGAAAGGTATCTTGTTGATGAAAGCATTTAGTGTGTCTAAAATCTGGCCTTCAGCACTCCGTACTCATTCAAGACAGCCCACGCCTTAAAAAAAGTAACAAACAAACATAATGTGATACATTCAGGGGCAAAGAACCATTGTGCTTCGGGTGAAGACAAGGCTCAAAGTAACCACTGGTCATCTCATGTGACACAACAGTGAGGTGCGCAAACTGGCTCACGAAGGTCAGCCTAAGTGGCAAAACTACCAAAATGCAGAGTTTTTGAAGCACATAGTCTTTGTACTAGTACAACCATTATGGAATGAGTCAGCGAATGTATGGGAATGGATCCGATCAAAAACTTCCATGAGAAAGTCTAGGATGGGAAAGGCTTTGAGATACTGTAATAAAGTCAACACGTGGAGTCTCTGATGTTTCGAGCAGACTATGGAATTGTTTCGAAGGCAAATTCAAAAATCTAACAAGTGGCACTCTTTGAGGCACGTCCGGAACAACTGGGCGCACTCTTTTCTTCAAGCAGTCTATCGTTCTATATGTTTGGACTTTGGACTGTCTCCAAGAACAAACATATAGAGTTTGGTCGTCAGCTCAAGCTTTGCTTCTGGCAAATCGTGCGCGTACACAGACTAAGAAAACAAGAAAGGATTCAGGTTCCAAAAAAATGATATTGTGTATATATATATACATATATATTTTATATAAATACGCTATAAGAGAAAGTAAGTTCGGGCTTGTTACAGAAACTAATTGATATACAGCACAGCTGACAGCTGCTTTTCAATGCTGCAACCTCTGCGATCGGGTCTACTATATGAAGCACAGCTCGCCAGCATATTAGCTCGTCCAAGGGGGGCAAAAATGATTGTACTGAAGGAAGTAAGAAAAGTAAAACAGAATAAACACGATAGTGCTGAAAATCAGCAAGCCGCAGTTCGGAAAGCAATTCTGCTTTTTCGTACAGTAGGGTAGTTGAGGTCAAAACCAACAATTTTCTTGCTATCAACGCATTTGAGATCAATGAAGGTGGTAGCAGTGGCGTAAAAAAGGATCACTTAAAGTCCCTGTACCGTCATGCGCAGAAGGTTTGTATACCAAGACTTGATTCTGCAAAATAAAATATAAGAAGCAAATCTTGTAGAAACAAAACCCTTCTCAATGGTCTAGGAGTCTAGGCTCTAGACCCACTGCCAAGATTGTTTGTTCCAAGGCACAGCCTATGCGGCAAAGGCAAGGCCACCTGCAAGTCTTCGGGAGCGGTGTCCAAGGGGTTAGACCTTCAGGACAACCAAAGGCTTTTGTGCCTTGTCCTGTACATACTTGACCTTTTCCGGACTGGAATAAAAGAAGGACCTGGACAAAATCACAATAGCTATATACAACAAATATCCAGAAAAAAAGGTGCTGATCTTGCGGCTACGATGGAGATTATTTACTGTAAGTGACCGCTGAGCTGACTGCAATATCGCAAAAGGCACGGTCAGAATTGCACATACTGTTCGGAAAATGATCGCCATTGGAAATGTCCAAAGGCCGCCGCACTTTCTGAAAGATTTGCTGCTTCGTGGTTGACGGCCAAAAAACAACCAGTTTAGTTGCACTGTGTCTGTGAATCACTGGGAGAGACTAGCACACCAGCATGATAGTGCAAGAATATGCAAGAATATTGTGCTCTTGAGACTCTTGTGCATTGAAAGTATACAGTGCTCATGTTTACAGGTATTCTGATTGAGAGCCCGAAACAAGCAATGAACACATTTGAGCTACCTCGTAATGCCCAAGCCTGCAACATTGTTCTACAGTACAACAGCAAATCTAAAGCCACCAGCAAATCCTCAAAACCAGAAAAAGTGGTGTGCATTGCAGCGAGTCCAGAACGGATCACACATCTCTTTTTGTGCCACACCTTGTGCTCTTGTCGGTGAGACAGATGGTATGCAGAGTGCATACAAGAACTGTCTTGATTGAAAGGCGATGCTCATCCTCCGTAGTTTTGCTGTTGATCAGGTTTTCTCCAAGAAGCGATTGATCTCACTCCATTGACAAGCTTACCTGACTTGGAGTTCGGAACATTGGCATCAAAAGCAAGCTCTTGCAGGCGCAAAGGCGGTATACTCTGAAACATCATTATGTAAACAAACGTGCGCAAAAGAACCGTAATAATAATGTTTTGCTCAGGGAAGGGCCGCAGCGACTGGTAACCCTTTATGAGACATCACCATCCAATGTCAAGTTGTCGCATTTACACAAATTGCTGGCGAGTGTCTTGCATTGGCACATTGAGCTTCATGATCTTGGCACAAAAACGACAATTTGGGGGTCGATTGATTGGAACAGCATCCCACCGAATGGGCAGAAATACAGGACTGGTGTCCCTTATCTAAGATATTGATTCAAGAAGCTGCACCGGCAATCGGCTGTAACCACTTGGATTCTAGCTGCTTCGAGACCACCCTCCTTGGGTGGGTAGTAGTCAATCCGCCTCCAAAGCGACAGGATCATGGGTGCTGCACAATCCCTGGGCGCTCTGGGAGCTGTCTAAGCGGCAGACCAGTTATACTCGATGATAGTCTGCTTGTACTTAGCCTTCTTGTGGCCATTGGGGCTCTTGTTGATGACCCTGGCTATCTGGCAAACTCATGCCATCTTCAAGATATAAATCTTCATACAAACGACATAAAGCACTCTGGTAAATTGCAAGGGCACAGCTTCAGCATTTTCGGACTCATCACTTCAGGGCCTTCAACCTCGGTTGGAAGGTCCCGGCATGTCGTTGGATGCACTCAATGCGATGGTAGACCTTTGTTCCTTCTATTTTTTCTTTGTTTCTAATAGCAATGGCCTCCAACCTACTAGCAAACTATATGTTGAAAAAGTCTAATGCTATCATACTATAGCATATTGTACTTTCACTTTAACGAACTGATATGTCAAGAAGGCGATCTATCTACCTACCTACCTACCTATCTATCTATCTATCTATCTATCTATGGTACAGCAAACAAATAGAAGTCTATACCAAGTTTGAGTTAGTTTGGTTAGATCTATCTTTTGGGGATACCTTAAATATGTGTGTATATATATACCCATATATATAGATTAATATGTGCTCACCCCCCCCCCCCACGACCCCCCGAAGACGATAAAAAGGTGTCATTAAGGTTTCATGTCAAAAGCTTTCCTCTGAATCTCTGGCAAAGTAGATTTCTCCAGATATGTGAAATTTAAAAAATCATTGCGCTTTTCTAGGCTAACCCCCCAAGACCTACCTTCAATACCTTGGTGTCAGATGTTGGTACTCCTGTTATGTAGAATTCTTCTCAGTTTCTGATTTTTTATGATTCCCCCTTTCAAGGATTATTGTTTCTGAATGATTCCCTGTTAAATTATTAATGCATGTAAGTTCCTTTTGACTCCAATTGATGTCGCTTTGAATTCCTTTTGATTACTGATAACTTCCTTTTGTATTCCGTTTCCTTAGCATTTATGTAGTGTAATGTAATGGGAGATGACAAGTATGTATAAACATGTATGCAGTGTAATATACTTGAGTGCGTGTGTATAAACAACCAAAAAAAATGTTATATTTCAAACAGTGTGTTGCGGGGTCGTAGTGGGGACGGGTGACCGTATAATTCCAGAAGTCAGGGAAAATGGAAAAATCAGGCCAAGCATGTGCAATGTTAGATGTTCAGGCTTCTACAAAGTGTCACATGAACACCAGAGATCGACCCATTGAATGTAGGATGATTGAAGGCATTGAGGACTTTCTGAAACACACTGAGAAGGATGAACACACCATGTTCTACAATGGCAATGATGTATTTAAAAAAAGATGTATAATCATCGCATCAAGTTTGTTTCAGGTTCAAGCTAAAAAGGAAACGGTGAAATCAAATACAAGGTGAAAACCTAACATCCAACAGACTCAATCAATGCCAGTATAACAGTTGAGGCGAAGAAAACACACAACAACATCCCAAAAGCAATGCTCATGTTCAACCAACAAATTGTCAGCCCTTTATAATTATAGATAAGATCCTATAACTACAATATGCATCATTTCAATGAGCTGGGAATGCCTTGAATGCATATGAGGGTGATGCAGGACAATATAACTGAAGGTAATGTAAAAAAAGGATTGCAAATATCATGATGCTATTCAAGTCGAAAACGAATCAGCCACCAAATGCCATATTCTAACAGTACCTGACAAAAAAAAAAAAAAAACTATCAAACAATGAAAGTTTGTAGTGTGGCAACATTCTTCATAATTTGATTGATATTGTAGTATGTTTGGGGGCCGGTCAGCCATTGCAAACGTTTGCAAACGGTTCCTGTGGCAAAATGTATTCAAGATTAAAGATTCAACATGTCTAGAAGACACTCCAATGCTGCAAAACAGACAAGAAAGGTAAACTGTTCAGAGGGTGGCACATCTATATATATATATACATACATACATACACATACACATACACATATACATATACATATACAGATACACATGCACATACACATGCACATACATACATACTTGCATTGTTACATACATGCATACATGCATTGTTACATACATACATACATACATACATACATACATACATACATGCGTTGCGTTGCGTTGCGTTGCGTTGCGTTGCGTTGCATTGCATTGCATTACTTTACTTTACTTTACTTTACTTTACATACATACATGCTCACCCCCGCCCCACACGATCTACATGTTCCCTCTTTTTAGTTCTTCTATCTTTTCATGTGTTTCAGCTCTTCGAATTCTACCTTTTCCTGCTTGTCAGCTGCTTTTCTGTACTGGGCTACCCCCTTTGCGGAATAGGTGTTCGCAATTCTTTGATAAGTTTTATGAAGGGGTTGAAAAGATCTTAATCAAAGAGTTTAAAAGGTAATCAAGAGAAATCAAAAATATTTCAAAGGGAATCAACAAAAACCAACAGGAATTCAATAGGCAACCAATATATAAATACAGCATTGACATTTCAAAAGTTAACTCACACAAAAAAGAAAATGAAAAGCGTACATGTGACTGCAGGGGGTGCTATTGTTGAAGCCAAAAAAGGGCAAACATTATTGTAGGGGTTATGTTGGTCAAGATTTCTAGTGTACTGGGCTAAACCCATTGTGGAATAGATTGTTGCAATAGTGTGAAAAGGTTTAATCAATGACTAAACACAAAAATTTAAAAAAAAAACGTTTGAAATGAATCAACAGAAGTCAAAAGCAGTTCAAAGGGAGTCAACCAAAAAGGATTTCAATTGGTAATCAATGAAAAGACAAGGATCTTTCAATAAAGGGAAAATTCTTGAAGGTTAAAATCAGTGAAAAGTGGAAAAGCGTAGACATTAAACCAGGGGTGTTGTTAATAAAGCAACAAGATGGAACCCACGAACCCGAATGCAAACACGTTCGACAAGTGACCGCTTAATGGAAGTATCCGATCGATTTCTTGTTTCTCCTGCTGACCTCGTGCGTCACATGGCGGACTCCGCCGCCACATGTTACTCTGCTGGAAATGGGACACTCTTGTGAAACACTTATACGGCACTCTTGTGGGACACTCTTGTCGGGCACTCTTGTGGGACACTCTTGTGGGGCACTCTTGGAGGACACTCTTGTCGGACACTCTTGTGGGACACTCTTGTGGGGCACTCTTGTAGGAAACTCTTGTGGGTTACTCTTGTAGGGCACTCTGAAGGGACACTCTTGTGGGACACTATTGCAGGACACTCTTGTTGGACACTCCTGTGGGACACTCTTGGGGGACACTCTCTTGTAGGACACTCTTGTGGGACACTCTTATGGGACACTCTTGTGGGACACTCATGTAGGAAACTCTTGTAGGACACTCTTGTGAAGCACTCTTGGAGGACACTCTTGTCGGACACTCTTGTGGGACACTCTGGTGGGGCACTCTTGGAGGGCACTCTTGTCGGACACTCTGGTGGGGCACCCTTGCGGAACACTCTTGTGGGACACGC